AAATCTTAATTATATGAAACCAATTAGAGTGATATCTACTGGAACAATAAATAAGATCTATAGGGTAGTAAAGCTGGAACCCTGTATTTTGGTGGGAACATGAGAGTAAGGTGTCTTGTTCTTCTCAAAGGTTCTCTATTGATAATAAATCTGATAAAAGATATCTTGCAAAATTTGCAGTATTCGTCAGTTGAAGAAGCTGTAGAGACACGGAATGCCGTTTATAATTTGCAGTGGCCCCCAAATGGGGGACGCCTTCTAGTGGCTGAGTTTGTTGATCCCCAGGATGTAAAGTTGCGTTTGGAGGCTCCTCCAACTCCTACTACACCTGTCAATTCTGGCTCTACTGCTACAGCCCAAACTACTTTGCAGCCTCAACCCTCTCCCCGTCAACAGGTTTCAAGGCAGCAGCTTCCACCGCCCTCAGCTTTACCTCCTCCACCACCATTGTCTAATCCACTTCCAGTAAGGGAACGACTTCCTCTTCCTCCACCTCCCCCACTTCCTGAGAAACAAGACCCCCCTATTGTTACTCTGGATGACCTGTTTAGGAAGACCAAAGCAACTCCTCGGATCTATTACTTACCTTTGTCAGAAGATCAAGTTGCAGCGAAACTTGCATCTCGGGGGAAAAACATGAAGCAGTAGGGTTCAGACAGTAGTAAAAATCCCTGGCTGCTCCTGGGATTTCATTGAGTTGGTCATATGTTGATTAAGGTAAGAAAGTATCACATAATTGCAATCTTTGCAGGTCTGCAGGTGTTGCTTATGGGAAGGGATCATTCAAGTCGAGTGGAGGGATCTGGTTCGATGTTGAAATTGGTTTTCCAAAGGCTGCCTTGGGTTGGGTTGGGTTATTAAGGGATAAGCTTACTTTTGGTTTAGAACCCTATAACTCCTTATAAGAGTAGATCAGTTGACCTTTTGGTTTCAGTCATGCTTTTCAGTGGAGCCAGAACTCTTTCCTAAACTTAATTTCACAGAAACCCGACTTTTGATTATGACTTTTGGTACATTGTGGGAAATGTAGTTGTAGCATCAGAGACATAATTCTTGTTTGGATTTTGCTTCTGGCCTCCTGCCCTACAGGATGAAACTAGTGGATGTGTGTGTGTCCTTTATGTTTATTAGGTAAAAGTGGAGAAGATACTCGCAACAAATACGTGTATTACGTGTTAGGTGGAATGTTACGGATGTGTAACACCTAAAAAAAAAACAAGTTTACTGAGGTTTTTTTATATTTGAAATAATTTCCTTAAAAAAAAAATAAAAAAAAATTTGTTAATGATAAATAAAACAATAATACAGAACAAAAGTCAAAGCGTGATGCGTCAATTTTTTATTTTTAAAATAATTTTGCATTTATATTTTTTAATACGTGATGGATATTTATTTAAATATAAAATAAATTTTAATTATTATTAATGTTAATATTAAACCAAAATTAATATGATCACGTAAATAATTATTATGTATTACGTGACTAATTTTAGTTGGTTACATTTAAAATTATAAATTCTCAATCGTATATATTTTTACTTCACATCTTCGATACGTGGAGTATTATAATTATTTTATATTTTATTAAAATGTTTTAACACACAATATTTAGTTCACGACAAACTTAATTGACATTTACACCACAAATTGTCAGCGAATCTCTGAAATTAGGAAGAAATTTTCAATATGAATTAATTAATATTTATATGGTATATCAATGTATTAGAAAAAAAGAAGAGTATATATTTAGACAATAATATTAAATTAGTAGTTTTAAAATATTTATACTACTCTCTTTTCTCTATTTATTGTTTGTGGCAGTGGAATGATTGACTTGAACTTGAGCCGAAAACAAGTTTTCGATGTATTAATATTCTAACAGTTTTGATGTTTGATTCCAAACTCTGATGAAAACAAATAAGATATAACTGAGAAACTTTCTCATAAACTCACTTGGTGCTCAAAATTTTTAAAGAAATTGGATTATATTTACAAGCCAAGATGTGAGAAGATGTATATATATATATATATATATATATATTTGTAATGCAAAATAAATTTAACCGTGCTAACACTAATTCATTGGATCCCATCAGAACTCAGAAAATCAAATATGTTTGTATGAGAGTGGATGACCTTTTAGGAAGTTCTTTTGCTGCACTTGTCTTTTTGGTCTTAGAAGGGAGGAATTTTGGGTGTTCAAGTCATAAAATTCTCCGTTATTATTATCATTATTTATTTTTTATTTGTGGTGAGGGAAATTAACCGAGGTTGAAAATAAGTTTTAAAATGATTAAATTTCAAGTAGTAATAATTTTTGATTCCGAACTCTGATTGAGGCAAATAAAATATCATAGGAAGCTTTCTCATAACACTATTACATAGTAAATTTTTGAAGGAGATTGTACTTTATATTTGAAACATATTTTGAATTTTATTTAGTAAAATTTAGGAAGTTTTGACGAAAAACGAGTGCAATAATGGACTATATTACATTTGTATGTTAAAGGAAAAAGACATATATACATTTACATAAAAAGTGTGATCATACAAACACTAATATAACGTATCTCTTGGGTGAGAGTAGTACTTAGGTAACTTTTGGGAAGTACTTGCGTTGTACTTATCTTTTTGTAACTGAAAAAAGGAATTCTGGGTGATTAAATCATAAAACTCTATGTTATTTTATTATTATACATTTTTTTGTGGTTGTGGAGAATTGGCCAAGATCAAAAATAAGTTTTTGAGGAAGTAAACTTTAAACATTCATAATTTTTTTTTATCACAAACTTTGATTTAGGCTAAAAAGATGTCGTTGGTAAATTTTCTCAAGACTCTATTATGTGGTCAATTTCAAGAAGATATTAGGTTCATATTCGAAGTTAAAAAAAGTTATTTTAAAGTGAATTTAATAAAATATAAAAAATTTTTCTTGAAAAACTGTCACAACCCCCTCTTATAGGGTATGCCTGAAGTACAGTCTCATGACTAGTAATAATATTTTATTACCTCGTAAAAGCGTATCTCTTGAAATGTATGTACAATATTTACATATAATACAATATTCTAAAATTTTTCATAGTTACAGTGTTAAACACATAAAGTAATAACTTTAAAATACTGATATTCAGAGTTTAGTTTAAGAATATCTTATATGTATCACCCACTATTTGGTAATGATATCCTTAATATCTGAAATAGTGATAATTGAATGAGGTACACTATCTTAATAAGTTATTATAGTATCATAACATCATACATACAATATTTTAATATAAACAATATAACAATTTAATAAAATAATGCATAATTTACAAAAATCTTTTCATAGTTTAAACCATAACATATGTTTCTCGAAAACATAGTTAGAATGCTACATTGTACGATGAGTTCAACTTCATCATTATCATGGAGGGCACAAGAGATATATCCAATTATACCATGCATAGACATATTGCCAATAAGGCCAGACTCCTAACACTCACTTGTGTGTGGACACCAGACTCTCAATATACTCGAACACATAACTGGCATATGTGGGCACAAACAAACTCATAACATGATATAAGTGGTTTCAGTGTCGATGAGGCCAGACTCCACCCATAACAAATGATGAATGCAAATCAAAATTCTTTTATGAACATAGTTGGGATAACAAATCAATTTTCAAATCAAAAATTTATTTCAAAATGTGGACATAATAACGGTAATTTTTCAAAATCCAAAATTCTAACATTTCAACATATTATTTTTCAATAATAATTTTACATATTGAGAATACTTACCTCAAATCCACTAATTGTTCAAAATTCTCCTAAACCTTTTCTTTGTCCTGATGGTGGTCTACTCAAGTATTGATTTTATCTTTAATTTTAGGTGAAACCTTAAATTATTTTATGTTTACATTTATTTTAAAATAATACTATAACTATGTGTAACAGCTTGCAACTTGACTCTGAATTTTATTTACGAAATTTGGAAGAAAAAATTTGAAACGACTTATAAAATAGATTTGAAAAATTAAAATGAATTTGATTGGGCATTAAAACTCTATTTAGAAAATTAGATTTCAAAATAAATTAAGAGAGAAATTAAAAATATCAAAATATATTAATAGTGAAATTAATTAAATTATATTTATTTAGGAATATTAGAATTCATAAATTAAATAAAACTAATTAATTAACAATTAAGGAAATAAGTTCAGAAATTAATAGAATAATTTATTTTGAAAATTAGAAAATTAATTTTTTAAAGAAATAGAAAATTAATTAAGTTAGAAATTGTAAAATAAATCTTAAAACAATTTAAAAATAATTTTAAACCCAAAAATAAATTAAATAAGAATTTAGGAAGCTGCAAGCGAAAAATCGAAAAATTTGGAGGACTTTTGTGTCCAAAACAGGGTCCGATGACCTAATTGAATAAAAATTTAAAAGACAGAGACTTTATGCAATTCTGGCCACATCAGTGTGTCACGTGGCCACGTGACCAACGACATCGTGTTGTGTGGCGGACACACCATCATGGGTACACTCACGTGGCTGTTTGCGTCTGCGATCCGTGTGAGGCTGATGTCACGACTGACATGTGTGGGGACAGATTGTGTGGCCAAGATGTGTTCACGCATGGATCGCGATTCGATCCATGGGAGTGGTTCCTGCTTAGGTGTAATCAACAGTTGTCACACATTCTCGCCTCATATTCGAATGAACGGCTCAGATCGCGTCCTGGTGAGGCGACCTGATGGTTCACGTGTAAATCCCGCATTCTGCATGATCTAACAGCTCCTAACACTTTATGCCTAAGCCGATCCAACTGCTAGGAGCCTGTTTCATACGGATCACGATTGAACGACCTGCATGCGTGTATATGCAATGATGCATGATTAGACGGTTCACGTGCGATATGCCGATCGTACGACCATGATTGTTCTTGTTTTGCATATCAGATGGCTCAGATCGCATGTTAGGTGAACAACTTAGATCGTGCATAGATATGATCGAACGATTGAGATTTTACACGTGTAAAATGATCAAAATGCTTATGACCAAATCGACAACACATATCTCACCATGGAGATCTGATGATCGGCGTTGTAACTACTTACACCCTGTTTGAATAAATTTTAGTGATGGTTAATTAATGTATGACAATAACAATAATTGGATGACAATAATATACAATGAGAATGATAAATTTTTTTTTATATTTAGATAATTATATATTAATTACATATTTTTATTTAGATAATAAAATAATATAATTATATTTTTAATTAAATTATTAATTTATCTCTACTTATTTATATAATAATAAATAATATATAAAAAATATATAATAAAAAAATAAATTATTAACCAATATAATTATATTTATATTTAAGTAAATAAATAATTATTATAAATAAAATTTTTATATTTAATATAATAAATAATAAATTATAAAAACAAAAATAAAATTAAATATATTATATAAGATTATAAAAGAAAAAAAAAATAACTTGACAGTCATTGGTATCTTTAAAATTCATTCCAGTCAAATTCTGTTTATTACAATTAAAAGTAGAAACAAACATAATTTTCTCCTACCACGAAACATCATATATTAAAATCCTATCATTTACTTTAATTGAAAGTAGCGAAGGGAGACTGAACGAGTATTTTACCTCCTGGTCATTCGGTTTCGAGTAATGGAGGGCAGAGGAGATTGCGCAGCTGCGATCTACGCTGGAAAAGAAGAGGAGATTGCGACTAGCAATCCTCGACGGTCCAAGGGAGAGGGGAATCGCCTCACCGACAATCTCTGTGAAGAGTGAGGGGCAAAAGAGATTGCCGCTGGCGTTCTCAACCATGGAGAAATAGGACCACCTAGCGGCAATCCCGGTTGAGGGAGAAGAGATCGCTTCATCAGTGATCTTTGTGGCGGAGGAGAGATAGCCCAGAGGCGATCTTGAGCGAGAAAGGAGAGAACCGCGAGCCGGGCAGGGGGGGGGGGGGAATGGAGAGAAGAGAAGATAGAAAAGAGGAGAAGCATAAGAAGCGTCTATGTGTCGCGGTTGGCCGATTGCCACCGTAGAAACGAACGGCTGAGGCTGGATCTGTGGGATCCGGTGATTCCCGTGCGTGTGGCGTCCCGCCGCTGCATGTAGAGGCTTCTGTGAAGCTTGATTAAGGGACTTGGCAGTGGGTCATGCGCGACCGTGAAGGGAAATGATGGGTGCCGCATTACATGCCTCTTCTGGCGACGTGCTGGTGAGTTTTCTAAATTCTGGTTCTAGTTGACCGGGTTGACCGATCCGACCGGGTCCAAACCGATTTAGTCGATTCTGACTGGTTCAACTCTTTTTTGACCAGTTTGAGCCATTAACTGGTTTTGTTTGCTGTTTTGCAGGTTCTATCAAACCCAAACACCTCATGCGATGAACTGGGAACATTTCCCTTGGGATCCCAGACTGGTTCAAGGTAAAACTCCTAAAATTAGTTCTAAGTATCAATATAGATAATTTAGTGGTTAAATTGAATTCTAAGTCATAGAAAAAATTATTAAAATCTATGTATAGTTTTTGCTGGAAAATTTGGAAGTGGGAAAGTATCAAGGATTGTAAATTGAACGGTCAGTCTTAAAAAATGAGTGTAGTAATATGCATTGTTTTCAAAATTCGAAAATTAAATAGTTTAAAGAGAGAAATTAATCGAGGAATAAGTAGGGATGGAAAATAATTAAATGTGGAAATTGGAAAAGAATTTAAAAATGGATTTTCATTGGTGATGCATGTGGTGTGTATGTGTTTGAAAGTGAAAGTGAATGTTTTGAGTTTGAATGAATAAGTTTATTAAGATTGATATGAAAAGAAAATGGAAAACAATTAGGAGATAAAAGTGGAGAAATAAACGAATAAGAGAAGATTCAAAGAAATTAATTGGAATGGGAAAAGAAAGTGGAAAGGAAATAAAGAAATAAAAGAGATGCAATTGAAATTAATAAGATAAGTAAGTTAGAAATGAATAGGTTAGGAATTTAAAGGTAAAACACATTAAGCAATAATTTCAAATTTACACATAAAACAAAACTTACAAAACTAAAATCAATGAATGGACATAAAGTGGAATGAAATAGAGTGATTGCAAGACTGTGAAAAGAGATGCCACATAAAACAAACAAACAAACAAAAAAAAAAAAAAAAATCAAAATTACAAAACAAAATGAAACATCCAAAATAAAATTATACTAAATAAACAAACCAAACCCCGACACCTACATAATAAATTAAACCCGATTAAGAATAATCAAATAAAGAAAATGATGTGATCCTAAACAACTTAAAATTAATTCTAAAGATGCAATCTCGCATCAAGAAGAAACCTTGCGAAAAAGGGAATTCCAACATGTTTTGGTTTCTTAAACAGGATAGACTCAAATGAAAAATTAAGTTCTAGTTTCATAAACTGAGAACACCTAGAACAAAAAAGAAATTTTATTCTTAACTACTTTCTTAAATAAGATTATTTTAGTGAGTGTGCCAAAGTTTGTTCAGAGGAAGCTTAAGGCCTAAGTGACACTTAATGGACTTACAAGGTCATATGGCCTAAGGGGGGCACGACCTAAGAAGATCAAACCCAAAGGCAAAGGCTGACCCATGCCACACGTTGGGAAGACCCGTATGCATGTGTGGACAAGGTTGCCAGCATGCACGGTGTGCGCACACATACGCGCAAGGGGAAGCCCACATGTGCGCAACAACCCGCATGTGTGCTGGCCATCTGGCCCACACCGAACAAGGGCACACGCATATGGCCCAAGCTCATGCCCGTAGTAGCCTTGCACGGGCCACCAGACCATTTGCACAAACCAGGCCCAACCCGAGTAGCCCCATGAAGCTCGTGCGACATGCTCATTTTTTAAATCCTTTAGGATTTATTTTCCTTTTTCCTACTTTTACAAGGTCTCCAAAGGTGCAACAACTCTATCTAATTTATCCCATGTGATAAATATGGATAATTTGAAGAAAGAAGTCTCTTTAAGGTGGGAGTTTAAGGAAGAACAAGATCCTTGAAGATTTGGGAGAAGGAGACTATTAATTTATTAACATTTTAATATTAAGTCTTATATGTAGGATTAATTAATTATTATATTAAGATTTGGATAAGGATATGTATTTTATTTTATGTATTTGAATTTAAATTAGGACATGATTTAATTATTTTATTATTTAAGTATTTAATTTCTAGTTAGAATAAATCTTAGAGTTTGGATATGATTCTTAAATCCTATTGCAAGTAAAAAAATAGAAGTTAAGAGCCTATATAAAGGCCTTAGCTCAAATATTGTAATCATACATTGAAAATTAATAAAAATTACGCTTTCAGCTTTTTATCTAAATTAATTTTGTGCTAATTTTCTTCTCTTCAAGATCTTCAAAGTTAGGTGAGCTTTTAAAAGTCTTGATTGAGCTGAGGAGTTGAGATCGACTAATCATGTAAATCTGTGACGTCTTTATTTTTCTCATTCTTGTTTCTCTAGTTCTGTTTTTACATTCCTAATTTTAGGATCATATATTCAATTAGAGGGAGGAGTTTAATTAGGTTGTTGAGTTTTAATATTGCATGTGATTGAGTTGAGATTCCGGGAGTCAAAACGATTCTTCTTATACCCTCATGTGTCAAAAAAATAGAAAAATTAGGAATACTTCGAAATAAGAATGTAGAAAAAGGAATGTGAAAACTACCAAATTGAAATACAAGACTTCAATTTTACAAATTAAAGTAATTAAAAAGAATGCAAAATAAATAATGATTAGTGAAGTGAAAAGATGAGAATGAAATGTGTAGGTTTGAAAATATCACAAGTAGTTAGTGAAAAATACAAAATAGGCAGATAAAACTTAATGTAATAAAACAATTACACAATAAACAATGTACAGTGATAACTCAAAGTAAAAAGTGAAATAATCAAAATAGTATGACTGAAATTTAGCGGTGGGTGAATTTTGCCTATGGGTAGATGAAAGTCTTTTCAGATGTAATTGGGATTAGGTTACCAGGTGAAGGACTGTTGTGTATGAGTGTAGTGTTACTGCCTATGTGGTTGGGGGATCGAGATTCCAAAATAGTACATATTATGCTAGACACATCGTTTTGTGTATAGAATTGATAGTTATTGAATTTAGTGAGAACTATAGGGAGCACATAATTAATACAATTCTCAATCATCAAACAACAAAATGCTCATAGAACTCCCACACTTGATTGTTTGATAGTAACTATTGTTTGTTTTAAATTCATGATTTTTTTAAAAATGATAAGACATGTTTGCTGCGTGTTAGATTTACTTATTAAGTTCATTGTGTTTTACTCATTCTCCTATTATTTTATTCTTTTTAGATTTTAAGGTTTATTCTTCCTAAAAAGATATCTTCCAAAATCTCTTTAACATTCCCCCATAATTTTTTCTCAAAAATTTCTCGCTCATTAGATGAATAAAATCTCCTTCCTTCCCCTTTCAATTTATAAGAAATGGGAGCAAACAGTAAACAGTGGTGTAACACCCAAGTAAAATAAAATTTTATTTTATTATTTTTATTTTTATTTATTTGATTTTTATTTAATTTAATTTAATTTAATGAAAATAAAAATAATAATAATGATAAAATTGAGTAAAAATATTATTTGAATTTAATTGAAATTGATTTTGGGAAAAAAGGGCGAAAATTTGGATTATGGGGGTGTTTTTGAAAAGAAAATTAGAAATCGGGGGTCAAAATATAATTTAAAAAAATTGTGTCACGTCAGTACCCACCTCAGCAGCCACGTCAGCGGCCCGGTCAGCAGCTCCGGCCAATCAGGACCCGCTGCGTGGCAAGGCAACGCTGACCAGGGAACGGGCCACGTGGGCGATCCGCGTGCGAGCGATCGGACGGACGACCCAGATCCGTTCCTGCGCACACGGACGGCCCCGATCAAACATGAGCATGGACGGTCCAGATTCACGCGCACGGATGATCCAGATTCAATCAGGCACGGACGGCCCAGATTGCATCGTAATGGACGTCCCAGATTTAATCTCAATTAAATCGCGATCGAACGGTCCAGATTTAGTCTTGATGGACGGTTGAGATTAAAAGGCAAAAGGTATAAATAACCCCACCCACACTTGACCACAAAAACCCTAGCTGCCAGTCCCTCGCCGGAGAAGAAGAACCAGACGCCGGAGGAGTTGGTCGCCGCCACCTGCCGCCGCACCGGGGAAGTTTTCGACCGTCGATCGAGGTAAATTTTATCCCCCTTACTCGTTTTTCGATGCTGAGTCCGCCTATGGCTAAACCGGAGCCAAACCACCAGCTAAACGTCCGAAAAACCCAGCCGAAGCCTAGCGGTGCCGCCGTGCCCCTCCTCAGTTTTTGCCTCCGATGAGGCCCCTCTCGGCCTCCGTTCGATGCAAATTTTATACCACTGTGATCACTGTTCTTTTCTCTACAGGTTGATCGGAGCCAAACATCAAAACACGACTCACACCGGAGGAGCCGCCGCACCTGAGAGCACCGCCGCCGGTAAGTCTTAGTTTTTCGTGATTTTTTGGCCCACCGAGGGCCCTAGAGTTGTTTTATCACAGGGACCAATGCAAGTGTGGCCGAATTCGGTCGAAAACGGCCAACTCGAGGCGAATCGCCGCTGCTTGCGGCGGCGCCGTCGCGGAGCACGGCATCGAAAAACGAGCTTAGGGGATAAATTTTACCTCGTTTGGCGGCTGAAAAGTCCTCTGGTGCGGCAGTGGGTGGCGGCGGCCGGTTCCTCTGGTGGCTGGGTTGTCTTCTCCGGCGAGGGTTCTGGTGGTTAGGGTTTGGGGTTGGGTGTGGATGCGATTAATTATAAGCCTCTCATTTTAATCTGAGCCGTCCATCATGATATAATCTAGACCGTCCAATTGCGATTAAATTGGAAATAAATCTGGGTCGTCCATCGCGATGCGATCTGGGCCATCCATGCGTGATCAAATCTGTACCGTCCGCACACGTGAGATCTGTACCATCCACACACGCCTTTGATCTGGGCCGTCCGTGTGCGCGGGAACAGATCTGGGCTGTCCAATCGCGCACACGCGGATTGCCCACGTGTCTCCGTCCCGCGTGGCTTCCCGCGTCAGCGTCCCTACCACGCGGCGAGTCCTGGTTGGCTGGGGCTGTTGACATGGTACTATTTTTCTAAATTACTTTTTGACCTCCTGATTTTCGATTTTCTTTTCAAAAACACCAATAGAATCCAAAATTTGACCCATTTTTTTCAAAATCAATTTCAATTAAATCTCAAAAATAAATTTACCCTATTTTATTATTATTATTATTTTTATTTCTATTAAATTAAATTAAATTAAATTAAAACTTTATAAATTAAATATTAAAATAGAATAAAATTAAACAAAATTCGAATAAAAATTAAAATAAAATAAAATAAAATTTTTGGGTGTTACAATGTATATATTTTGAAATGAATCGATTTACACAACATGTCGCCAAAGTAATCTCTTTTGTGTTAAACTGATTTATTTTAGAATGCAAATAGTTGTACAGATGTAATTTATATGAATGTTAATCACCAAAATGAATGTTATTATTTAACATGATTGGATTTCTACATGTGGTAATAAATGCGTGATAGTTATTTGGTTTTGTATGTGAACTATAAATCGGCCCAAAGGAAGATTTATTATTTGGCGTATTTTTATTGTCAGTATTTGATTACTGCGCTAAGATATCATTTATAAAGTTAATATTCTATTCAACGATAGAGTGTTATTAGAGTGATTGGTATCTTGTGATGAGATTCACCTTTATTTGAATTCATTATTATTGTTTTTAGTTTAAAGATTTATGTGAGTAATGGTTTTTCTCTATTAAGTTTTTTGTTATGCTGCAAATATCTCCATGAGTGTTAATTCCATCCCAATCTTA